TCCCAGCTTCTTGGTATTCCCACTCCCTACCAATAAAAGAGTTGTTTCCAATTTTTGCGATTACAAACAATGTTGCAGGGAATTATTCAGTACCATGTCTTTAAAGCTCCCAGTGCAAAGTGCCTTCTGGAAAGGCTGTGCCCATTGCTTCTCCTGCCAGAACCCTTCTTTCTGTTTAAAATGCAATCCCTCAGATCCTTCTAGATTCTGTTCAAATCCCCCATGTTACAGATGAGGAAACTGAGGCACAGGGAGTTGCAGCAACTTTCCAAGGTCACTCAGTGAGTAATGGCACCCAGACTTCCTGACTCCCAGCCTGGGTTCTTCCCCCTTCTGCAGGCTGCCATCCTCTGCCTGTGCCTCCCCAGGGCAGTCACCATGACACTCACAGCCCTTTGGGATCCTCGTGTGTATGTGCAAGGCCAGGTGTGAGTGGAACCGACAGGACAGCGCTCAGAGGACAGAGCAGGAGTGGCCAGGTAGGACTGGACCAGGCAATGAAGAGGTGAGCAGAGCATGAGTGCTCTCCAATTCCTTGTTTCATCTGTGCTTCTCATTATCTTCGAGATGATCATTACCAGTTTGGCGGGGGGGACCTAGATCATGGGCACGAGGCTAAAATATAGCAGACCTCCAAGCCAGGGCTTCTTGGACTCCTAACACTGGGGAGGCCGCCCTGGGCTGAAGCAGGTTAGGGCTGTGGGGTGGTCAGGACTCAGGGTCCCTTTTCTGGTTGTCAGAGATAGATGGTGAGACAGGGAGGGCAGCCCTGTGGCTGAGCTGGGCATCACTATTATGACAGCTGTGGGTGTCACCTAGGGGAGAGGAAAAGAGCTGGGCTCTGGGCGAGGGGGTGGGAGAGGCGGCAGGGGAAGGGAAAGGGTCAGACAATATTTAACAAGCATCTACCAGCCTACCAGCCTCTTGGCCTTGCAGGCAGCTGGATCCATTTCCATGGGGCTGCCAGAGGAGGCCTGGGAGGGGGAGGCCGGGAGAAGGGAGGGAGCTACCAATCCACCCAAAGTACAATGTGCTGCCCCACTCCCTAAAGCTGAGCCTTCTTAAGAGCCTCCTCCCTTGCTCTGACCTTAAGAAGGCAGAGCATCTCTGCCCCTGGGGGCACCAAGGACCTGCCTTTGCAAACTGGCATGCCTGATGCTAGGGGGGTGAGGGCAATGAACGGGCTTGGACTTTCTCCAGGGACCACTGGGAGCCACTGGAGAGCTGGTGAAGGGAGCCCTGAGCTGCTGGGCTCAGGAGCCCTGTCCCTGTGCCACCCAGCTCCTTCCACTTTCCAGTGGGAACTATATCCTAGCCTCCTAGGGTTTGGGGCACCCCACACGTGGTAGATGCTCAAGAAAGGCCTGCAGATTTTTTTAAAAAGATTTTATTTATTTAAGAGAGAGAGTGAGCGAGAGAGAGAGAGAGAGAGAGAGAGCATGAGAGAGCACTCAAGCATGAAGGAGGTGGGGGAGGGAAGGAGAGGGAGAAGCAGGCTCCCTGCTGAGCAGGGAGCCCGATGGGGGACTCGATCCCAGGACCCTGGGATCATGACCTGAGCCGAAGGCAGACGCTTAACGGACTGAGCCCCCAGGCGCCCCAAGCCTGCAGGTTCTGAGGTGAAGGCAGGGTGAACAACCGGCAGGCAGCAGGGAGTGGGGTGCAAGGAGGAGTCACAGCCTCTCATTTTACAAATGGAAACTCAGAGAGGGAAGTGACTTCCCCAGTGCTTCACAGCTGATAAGGGGTGAAGGGACGAGAGTGGAACCCCAGATCTCCTGGCTGTGCCCTTTCCCCTGTCCCCCTGCACACAGGTTTATGAGGCACGTGTGCTCGGCGCGGTGCATTTGTGTTGCTAGGGAATACGCAGCCACGTGCGTGCGTGGACTGCACGAAGGGGCCACAGCGGGTGGACAGACACATGTGCATGTGCAGTGTCATGTGTCAGCGGGCGTGTGTCTCCTGGGTGTCGTGTCAGACGGGTGAGTGGAGGCACTGGACGGGCCCGTGTGACCTCCCTCCGCATCAGCGCTGCGGCGGGGTGGGGGCGGGGCGGCCGGCTCTGGGAGGAGGAGGGGAGAAACCCTGTGCCCGCCCACCCCCAGCCCCACACGGGGCCTCCCACCCTCCGACGTGGCAGCTTACAGGACAGCCCTTTCATCGGAAGGGCCCACACTCCACAGAGAAAATCAGAGATCGCAGAAATTGCGTTTCCCTGACTCATGCTTTGGGCTGCGAGCATATTCCTGGCTTCCGGACAGCATCTCAAAGCGCAGCCTGTGATAGCCCTGGCCCTACTCTGAGGAAGAGGTTCCACCATGGACTGGTTAGCCGAGCCTTTCTTGGCCCGTTTTATCCCATGTGAAAAGGAGAAAGGGATTACACTTCCTTCCAATTAGCGTCCTATAATTAAGAGTGAGATACGGTTTAGGTGCCCAGGACGGCCAGCCGTAGCAAAGTGACCCATAAACGCCATTTCTCAGTCCTTCCCTTTCCCTACCTTCCCTTGGACAAACCGACCTAGTTCAAATCCCTGTGCTGAATGCAGCTCCATGTATGCCCTTAAACACTCCACTGAGCCTCCCTGACCTCTGGGGCGCCTGGGTGGCTTAGTGGGTTAAACATTCAACTCTTGATCTCAGCTCAGGTCTTGATCTCAGGGTCGTGAGTTCAAGCTCCACACTGGGCTCCACACTGGGCTCCACGCTGGGTGTGGATCGTACTTAAAAAGAAAATAAAATGGTGACATTCTTACTTACTCTGAAAATATTAAATACGGGTATGCTGAGCACTTAAATGATATGTTAGTTTTTGTCCTAGGATTCTACAGGGCAAAGACTGCATGAATCTAGCCACTGGAGCCAAAGAAAGCTGTTTCTGTAATCTCTGGCAAAATGGGGTCTGCCGATCTGGCTGGGTCAATCAGAAGTGGTTTGGGGGAAAGAGAGCTGGGGGTCCAGCACCTGGGTTCTGGCCCAGCTCTACCTCAGACCTGCTGTGTGACCTTGGGCAACTTTCCATCCCTCTCAGGGATGGGGTGGGGCCGAGGGCAGGAACAGCTCCTTCAGGAGCCAAGGCACTGGAGGAATCCAGACCTGAAATGCTGGAGAGTCTCTCTGCAATTCAGTCTTTCCTCCCTCCAGAAAGAGTGCTTTTTCCAGAATGTGCAGCCTGGAAGTGTGGGGGAAGGGCACAGCCGGGCCTGGGCTGGGCTCAGAGCTAAGAATAATGTGGCAAAGGCTCTTGACATTTTTTTGCTGATCTTGGAAATTTAAAGGAGCCATTGTCTTTCTTCAGGGAGGCGGTGCTTGGAGCCCCACAGACTCAGGCAGCCGCTTCCCACCACTGGCTCTCTGAATGAGCTTACCCAGTTCCTCTTCTGGGCCTGCCCTGTGCTGGGTACTGGGGACTCCTAGAAAGAAGGCGGCCCGGGTCTCCAGAGACACTCAGTGAGACTATAGGATGATGACACAGAAATAATGCCATAGCGGAGGCTTCTGACCCAGTTTGGTCTTCAGACCTAGCCTTCTCCTCAGGCCTCAGCTTCTCTCTCTGTAAATGGAGGGCATTAGTCCTTTCTACTCTGACCTTCTAGGATTCTGGGTTTATCCAGCAGCAGGAGCCTCAGTTGACCCTTCCCCCTCAGGGCCGGCACTGAGAGTCGTAGCATTCTGCTTACCCCGGAAGTGTTGGTGAGGCCTCAGAGAGCTAAGAAATGGAGCAGTGTGGAGGAAAGGAAATCTCTGTGGGCTTTTGACATCGGGACCCACCGGAAACCAAGACCTTTCCTTTATTCTACCAGTTTTGATGGACTCTTAGTTCACAGGCTGATTACCTTGGAGCACCAAGAGGGTGGGGTATGGCCTGTGACCCAGGTGGTTTCCTTGGATAGCAAGGACATATCCTTAAAAGCAATACACAATTGAGGCAGGAAGAAGCACATGAAAACCAGGACAGCCATTCCAAAGAGATGGACACAACACTAAATAGGAACAATTTTGTTAATGTTCGGACCTGTCCTAAGAAAGAATACTGGGCCGCCTCTGTGGGACTTGAACTCCCTGTTCTAGAAGATGCTGTGCACTTGCCTTTGGGATACTGCAGAGAGGCTTCTGCCTGGGGCCGCACACAGGAATCCATGACCTCTGAGAAGCCTTGCAGCCCAGAGCCCCTGCTCCTTTTCTTCTAAGATTCTCTGACTCTGAGATTTACCACCCTACGATTCTCTAGATGGAGATTCAAAGATTCCATGGGGATTCAAGGAAGATATTAGCTTCTATGGTGGTCACTTTTGGATTCAAGTCCTCTCCAACTCTTTAACCCTGACTCAAAGAGTCCGAAGCTCTTGGAATCGAAGATTTCCCACCGTCCTTGTAATCAGACTTGAAGTAGCAGCACCTAACCCAGACTTCACAGTTAGTCACTCCCCCACCCCTACTGCTGGGGACCCAGATGATTCATCCACTGGGTGCTGGGATTCATTTGCTCCCCAAGAGCCAAGGATGCACTTGGAAGAAAGAAGACACTCAGCACAGCTTTCTGATTGGTTGAACGAATGAGTGAATGAAGTGTCTTTCTACCCTGTCCCTTCCTCTCCATACCGTGCCAGTCTGTTATCCATCATTTCACTATTAGAAGACTTGTGGGAGGTAGGGGGATGTCCTAAATAATCTTCTGCCTTCTTGAGTTCCCTACTAACATGCACATTTCCTCCTCATACTGTACATCCTTGAGGGCAGGGACTTTGTCCTGTTCTCAGCTGCGTCTTTAGCACCTAGAACAGACCTGAATACCCAGCTTAGCTTAGAGCTCCAAGGGACTATCAGTTGTAGGAGGGTGGGGTGAGAGGGGTTGATAGTGAGCCCTGGAGCCCTGGGAGGGGACCCAGACAGGGAGAGGGCAGGGATAACCAAGGAGAGAGGGAGACAGACATACAGACCAGGGAAGGGGGGAAGGAAGCAAGCACCACATTTCACAGCCAAAGTAGGAACTACAGCCTAGAAAAGGAAAGTAACTTGCTTAGTAGGATCATACAACGTATTACTTAGTGGACAGCCAGGGTTCTCCTTCCTGTGCACCCCTCCAGATCCAGCCAAACCATGACGTTCCCGGAGTCTCTGCCTCTATCACGACTTTCCAGACTTGGGGTCAGGTATTGGACCAGTTAGGATCCCTTTTCCCCTCAGGGCTGTCACTGAGGTCCAGCTCCGTCAAGGTGTTCAGGATAAGCTGCGGATGGAGAAAGATGCTGCCTCTCAATTTCTGATCACCTCCCCTAAGACAAAGGAGAGGGACCCTGACTGAGGAGGGGGTGTGTCAGGGGACCTAATTAAGTCTCTGCTCTAAAACGGGGGGAGTGGATCGCCTCGGGGCAGAGCCCCTGCAAGGGAAAAGGCTGCTGGAAGGGGTAAACAGGCTTGTGGGGAGGAGGGTGCTCCTCTCCGGGGAGCTGGACCCTGGAGCTCAGTGTCCCCTCCAGCTCAGCGGTCCTAATTCCGCCCTCTCCCCCGCCCCCCCCCCCCCCCCCCCCCCCCCCCCCCCCCCCGCTCCGGTCCCCATTTCCAGGACCTCGGAGGTCCGGAGTCTCCGCAGTGTCCGCGGAGTCCAAGAACACCAGCGCGCTGTGCAGGTCGTGCAGGTCCCAGCGCCCGACCTCTCTGCGGGGGTTCCCCGCGCCCCGCTCGGTATGGGGGGCAGTAGGACCCAGAGGCCGGGTGAGAGCCCGCAGAGGGAGGGGCGGGAGCCCGGGCGGTCTGGGGGAGGTCTTTGGGTTTTTTTTGGCGGAGCCGGGGCGCCCTCCGGAAGCTTTTCCAACTTTCCAGAAGTTTCTCGGGACGGGCGGGAGGAGGGGAACGCCATATATAGACCTGCGGAGCCGGGAGCGGCGAAGAGTGGAATCCGTCCGCGGCTCCAGTGGGACTCTCGTCCGGCGCCAGCCCGCCCGGCCCAGGTGAGGGCGAGGGCCGGCCTGCGCGCCGCGGGCGCTTTGGGGGTGCTCCTGGGAGTGAGAGGGGGCGGGAGGCCCCGGGGGAGGGGTTGGGGCCCAACCCAGAGCCCGCAAACCGGAGTCCCTGGCACCTTGGGAGCCGCTGGAGCGTTTGGGATCGGGAGCCTGGGGTGGATGGTGATGGCTGAGTGAGCCTGTAGGGCTAGGGTGGGGCGGGGAGTCGGGCACTGGGAGGCTCGGAAAAAGTGCGGGGTTCCACAGAAGTATGGGGCAGGGGTGGTGATGGCAGAGAGGAAACAGTGGGGCTGGGAGCCAGGATGCCGAGACTCGCCCCTGTGCAGGAACCAGAAGGGAGGAGATGGGGTCTGGGGCCCTTTCCAGTAGGGGTAGGAAGCCAGGTCAGCTTTGCAGTTAAGGGCGCCTCCGCCTCTGGGGCTGGGGCCCAGGGGACAGCAGGGGTGGGCGGACCAGTCTCCTGACGGGTTTGGTGGGGGTGGGGGAGGGGTGCATCTGAGCCTCCTGAAAGTAGGGTCGTAGGAAAGGAGGTGAAATAGTCTAGGCTTTTCCCCGGGCGGGGGGTGTCTTGGGGTCCCTACAGTTTGGGAGGAGTCACCAACGGTGGCTCCCTTTCTGATCAGCAGCCTGCATGTGTAGATGTTGGCAGCTAAAGGAGTAACTTGACCAGCACCATCTCCCCCACCTCCCTCCAGAAAGGGGGTGAGGAATCCGCAGGGTCCTTATCCCCCCACCCAGGAGGGGAGGGTTAGCTGACTAGAAGGCTTTGAGTCACCCGCTCTTAACTCTGTCCACTGCCGCCTGGTTCTTGGAGTAACTGCAGGGTTAAGGCTACTACTTCCAAAGGCCAGGGTACCCTGCCCCCAGCCCAGGGACATTCCTGAGGTGGCTGGAGTGGAGGAAGAATAAAACCACCTCCAGCATGGCCAGGAGGCCCGGCCCCTCCTCTTCCCGGTTTCCAGCAGGTCCCTCTGGGCTCTAGGGCCCGGATGGAGGCTGGAGGCCAGAGGAAAATTAGGGGGCCTTGGTTCCCTGGAAGTCTCTGGCTGGTACCACACCCTCCTATCCTCAGATGGTTCATCTGCCCATCCCCCCTTCCTGAGGCCTCCCGAGCCACTCCTTTTGTCTCTGGTCACCGGGATTCCCTGCAGAAATGTTTTTTGTTTTTTTTTTTTTCCTCCCTGTGTAACAGGATACCCCATCCAGGCTTCCTCAGGGGCTCTGTGGGTGCTTCTGGGAGGAAGGAACCCTAAGCGGGGAGGCCCAACCCCTACAGATCCTGTGCGACCTGGGGTGGCTCCCTGCCCCTCTCTGGCCTCAGTTGCTCCCACTGCACAGTGTGGCAGACAGCCTCCAAAGTCCCTGTGGATCTGGGCCTGGGTAAGCCTCCTTTGTGCCACGGGCAGTGTAGCCAGGGTCCCGTTCGGGGTTTGGGCCTTCCAGGCCCCCCCCCCTCACCACCCACCCCAGCTCTGCCCTATCCCATTCTCCTCACTCTTCTGTTTTCTTTCAGAATGAAAAAGGCAGGCATTGACCTCCCTCTGAGGCAGTTTCAAGGTACTTTAGACTCCCTCAAGTGTTTGAGATCCTCTCTGGTGGACCCCCGAGAATTTGCTTCCCTTCCCCTCTTACAGAAACCCGGAATCCAGTCTCAGCTGAGTCTGGCTAGCTGTGGGCACAGCCCTCGGCTCTCTGAGCGTGTATTTTTCATGTCCTTTGTGGGACTGTGAATCGTCTAACCGTGGCCTCAGGGCTGAGATTTCTCTTTGGCAACGTGGGCCAGGCTGCAGGAGGCTGCCTTGCTTGCCGTGACTTGTCTTCCTCTGTGACTGCTGCCGGGATAACAGGGCGGCCCTCTCCACAGCCACGCATCTCCCTGCGGAGCCAGATGGGCAGACTCAAAGCCAAGGCCAGAGAGGCTCTGGGGCACCCCCTGGGACCTGAACCCAGACCTCCTGCTTCCCAGGCTGGAAGCCCCCCTCTGCCGGCGGATGGAGATAATTCTGTTTCCAGCCTGCCACGTCACCTAGAGCGGGAGCGGGAGCGGGAGCGGGAGTGGGAGTGGGAGCGGGAGCGCAGCTGTGTGGCTGTCTGAGGAATCCCCAACTAGTCATTTGGAGCTTTCTTGCAAGGCCCCTCCCAGTCCTTTGAAGTTCTGGTTGGCTGTGGGTGGGGGCTGTCAAGATGGTGTCTGCCACGTGGCAGGGCTGTGAGCTGGGCTCCTTGACTTTCCCAATGGGCCGCTAGTGGCCTCTGCCCGGGGTCTGTGCTCTGGCATCAGCTGTATGAACTAGAGGTGACCTTTGAATAGAGTGGCCCTATGCCTGTTGTCCTGGCGTAATAATTAGTAGCGCTCCATTTCATTTTCTTAGGTATCCTTGTTTGTACAATATTCCTATGGTCGTTATGCCTTTGAGGCTCCAGGCCTGGTGGGGAAGGAGCTCGGGCTGGGAGGAAGGCGGCCTGGGCCCTGGGATATATCACCTCCCCAGTCTGGACTCTGGGTAGGGTACAGGTCTCTCTGTGCCTTGCCTCGTCCTCCCACCCCTCTCCCCATGCATCCTTTGCTTCCCCTTTACATTGCACCTTCAAAGAGGTGGCAGCCCAGGGAGGGAGTACCTGCCTGGGTTCACAGGGTAGCTGTAGCAGTGGGGTCTTCCCAGAAACCCGGTGCTCCTGCAGGCAGGCCGAAGTCCTGAGAGTCTTCCACCAGGATTCTGAATTTTCAGACTTTCTTGAGGACCATGAGATGGGATCTGCCAGAGCAGTGGGATCCCAGCCTCCACTAGAGTCCTTCCAACCCTTCCCTTTGCCCTGTCATCTCCTCTTCTGTCCTGCATGAAAGTGGGGGGGGAAGTGTTCCGTGGGGAGAGACTGTCCTGATTGGAGGCCCCAGGGAAGGGAGTGAGGCTTGTTTTAGGGGCCACTGCTACCGCTGTGATTTGGGAGGGGTCTTGAGGGCCACCCTGAAGCCCTAGAGCAGAGGGCCTGGGTGGCAGCAACTGTCAGATGGGAGGGCAGAATGGAACATGAGGTGGACCCGGCTTCCTGCGGACACACATCTGGCCAGCCTCCGGTGAAGGGGAGGGGGTGTCATTGCTCCACCGAGCTGTGACTTACCCCTCCTCCAGTATCCTTCCTCTCAGGAAACCTATCCCCCACTCAGCTTGTGTCCTTGGATTTCCCCTTCACGCCAGGGACTGGGGAGGGCTGGGCAGGCCTGTCCCTGCTAAGACACAGGCCTTGGGCATGGAGACCTAGGCCCCGACAGCTTGGAAAATGGGGACCGAGGCCGAGAGAGGAGGGGACACACACTCAAGGTCACCCATGGGGCGACAGAGTGGAGCATCTGGGCTCCCCCACTTAATGAGTGAGCTAACCAGTGACTCATTAACATCCCAGGGTAGAAGGAAAGGCATGGGGTGGGGGAGGAGCAGGCCTTCAGCCTGTTCCGACAGGACATCCTTTGCCCAGGCAGCTGGGCTTCATGCAGACCCTCAGTCCATCCGCCACTTTTTTCTACTGGAAAAGGGGCCTGGGGTGGTATGAGATGAGAGCTAATTTTTATGCGAACTGAGGACCCTAAGTCTGGCCAAATGGCCCTGGTTTCTGATCGTTCCGAACAGCTGAGGCCTATTGTGTGCTAGGCCCTGGAGATACACGGGGAAACCAGACTGGCTAGATTTCCTGTCCTCTTGGAGGTCACAGACTAGTTAGGCATGGAGATAATGCATAATAAACTCATAAGACTCAGTGTTGTCAGTTCAGTGTAAGAAATCAATAGGGAGGAGATGGTGACTTGCTAGAAACCCTGTTTTGGATAAGGAGCTCAGAGAAGGCCTTAGAGAGAGTGGGCCGACTAAGACCTCGGATCTGGGCAGCTTTGAGTTAGGGCTGAGTTCCCCAGAACTCAGGGCTCTCTTGCTCCCATCTGCAGGGGACTTGGTGGCTGCCAGTAGGCTGGGGATGGTCGTCGGGGAGGAACACCCAGGGTTTCAGGGCCACCCTGTCTGCAGCCCTCACAGGTCCTCCGTGGTGCATCCAATCCGCCTCCCCGCCATGCGCTTGCTCCTGCTCATCAGCACCTGCTGCCTCCTGGCCGTGGCCCTGGCCGCCGAGGTGAAGAAGCCGGCGGCCGCGGCGGCCCCCGGCACAGCAGAGAAGCTGAGCCCCAAAGCGGCCACGCTGGCTGAGCGCAGTGCCGGCCTGGCCTTCAGCCTGTACCAGGCCATGGCCAAGGACCAGGCGGTGGAGAACATCCTGCTGTCGCCCGTGGTGGTGGCCTCGTCCCTGGGGCTCGTGTCGCTGGGAGGCAAGGCCGCCACGGCGTCCCAGGCCAAGGCGGTGCTGAGCGCCGAGCAGCTGCGCGACGAGGAGGTGCACGCGGGCCTGGGTGAGCTGCTGCGGGCGCTCAGCAACAGCACGGCGCGCAACGTGACCTGGAAGCTGGGCAGCCGCCTGTACGGGCCCAGCTCCGTGAGCTTCGCCGAGGACTTCGTGCGCAGCAGCAAGCAGCACTACAACTGCGAGCACTCCAAGATCAACTTCCGCGACAAGCGCAGCGCCCTGCAGTCCATCAACGAGTGGGCGGCGCAGACCACCGACGGCAAGCTGCCCGAGGTCACCAAGGACGTGGAGCGGACGGATGGCG